CCGGCGAGTTACCGGTATCGCGGCCAAAGCATAATGGCGAAGCTAAAAGATAGGGTAAAGCTTAAATTGCACGAAAGCGCTTGGAGCGCGGAAAATTTAAAAGACCGACCCCGGGTGCCCAAAGGGGCACGAAAAAAAAAAAGGTTAAAAAAGGAACAATTTTTATTGGCAATAACATTTTTGGTAAAAAATTTACGGAAGTTTAATAAAAAAATACCGTATCCGGCTTATAACCCGGTAACCACCCGCTTTTGCATCGATTAACCCTTAACATATTATTCCTTTTTTTATATTTTTTTATTTGGGGAATAAGCCCGGGTAATTACCGAAAGGGATTAAACAAGCTTAAAAAGGGCATTTACGACTTTGCATCGCTTATAATAACGCCCAACGCTACGTTAAGCACGTTGGAAAAAGCCGTTGGGCTACCGGAACAAAATACCAAAAGAACCCCGCAAATTTCCGACGATTTCGAAAACCTTTTCGTAAAAAAGCTGCAAAAAATAAACGATACGCTAAAAGCTTAAAGCAAACGCGCCCGTTTAATTTAAAAAATTTAAAACAAAAGGTCGAAGCATGCGCATAAAGGTTTAAACGAAAATAAAAAAATATTTTTAAATAACGAAAAGGTTTTACGTAAAACAAAATTATTTTTAAACCTTTTATGCTTAAAAAATCGGCAATTTGGCAAAATATCGCCCATTACATTAACAATTACAAATTTATTTTTAAAAGCAAAAAAGGACGTTACGGTAAAAACCGTGTAAAGGTTTAAATAGCTTTTAGCACTTTTAATTATTGTTGGCGGGCATAATGGACAAAATACAAACAAATGCATTACTTAAATACCGGGATATTGTTTATTTGGGCCGATTTTTTGCGATAGCTTTAAGCAAAGTTAAAAAACCCTAATTCGCGGATGTAGCTAGCAATTAAAAAGCTTGCGAAAAATACCGTTATTAAACAAAAGGATTACAAATTGTTCGAAGCGTTCCGGATTTGTTAGGATTTGGTAAAAAACGACCTTTTCGAATTAGCACCCGAATGGATAAAAATAACATTGTTTTTTAACCGGTTTTGCCCCGAAATTTAAAAACGGGTAACATTTAAAAGCTTTTTTTATATTATAAAAAAATTGCAAACCAAAGCTTTTAAAGCAAAAATAATATTGGGACCGTACAAAAGGACCCCGGGGGATATAAGTATTTTAATTTTTAAAAAGCCGGTTATTTGCTTTAAGTACGGGCAGTTAGGCTATATCGTTGCAGCATGCAAAATACGGACGGACAATTTAAAAATCCCGTTGGCTTTAGCGACCATACAAAAAGCGAAAAGGAAAAAGCCCGAAGTACGGTATTACGGGTGTAAAAAATTGGGCCATATCCGGCCGGTATGCTTTAAAAAAAGCAAAATATCGCTACCCAATTCGATACCGCTGTTTGGCCGTTTAAGCACCGGGGTTTAAAAGTGCGCCCCGGCGGTTAAAACGCGTTAAAAAACCGAAATATATTTACGAATTAACGGTTGCCGGGTAAAGTTAAAAGCGCTGGTTAATAATAAAAGCGACGTTAATTTGCTGTACAACCGTTTTTTGGTAAAAGCAAAAAAGATACCGGTACCAAACGGGGGCCATTTAGCGTGGTTCGATACCAAAAAACGCATGCTTACGCTAGGGGTAAAAAAATACAAAATTTGGGTAACGAATAACTAAGGAATAACCCGAAAATTAATAATATTTTACGTAATAATGCCCCGGGCCGGGTACAACATTACGTTGGGCATATTTTGGTTTTAGCAAAAAGATATTAAAATCCGGTTTAAGGATATAAGGTAAAGGTTTTCGGTAATTATTAAAAAGGTTAAAATGATTTTGTTAGAAATAGCCAAAAAATTAATTCAATCGGGACAAGCGATAGCCGTACTAACGGTTGCACGCTCGAAAACCTTAAAAAACCCCGGGAAAGGGCTAAAAGCTTTTTCGGAATGGGTTAAAAAAATAATTGCAAAATATGCGCAATTTTATAAATTAAACCCTTTGCTAAAATATATAAGCTAAAATTACGCGATCGAATTGGAGGAAAAAACGATACCGTTTTACGGAAGCATTTATCCTTTATTTAAAAAGGAATTAAAAACTTTCCGGGGGTATTTCGACGAAGCTATAACGAAAGGTTGGATCCGGCATTTAACCAGCCCCGCCGGCGCCGGGATTTTGTTCGTTTTAAAAAAGGACGGGAAGCTTCGCTTTTGTATCGATTATTAAAGTTTTAATAAAATTATTAAAAAAAACCGGCTAATATTCCCGTTAATTTACGAAATATTTAACCGGGTGTTTAAAAGCTAGTATTTTATTAAATTGGATTTAAAAAACGCTTATTACAAAATACGAATTCGATAAAAAAACGAATGGAAAATTGCTTTCCGTTGCAAATATGGACATTACAAATATTTAGTAATGCTTTTTGGTTTGGCCAACGCTTTAGCAACGTTTTAAAGCTTTATTAATATAGCGCTTAAAAAATTAATTAATAATAATTGCATTATGTATTTAAACGATATCCTTATTTTTTCGAAAATATAAAAAAAGCACCGCGAAGCAATAAAAACGGTGCTAAAACGATTTAAACGGTTTAAACTTTACGTTAACCCGGCCAAATGCGAATTCGAAACGGATAGTATTAATTTTTTAAAGTTTAGGATAACCAAATTCGGGGTTAAAATTTTGCCGAACAAGGTTATTGCAATTTTAAAGTGGAAAATATTAAAAAGCGTTAAAAATATCCAAGTATTTTTGGGCTTTACGGGGTATTATCGGAAATTTGTAAAGGGTTACGCGAAAATTACTGTGTTTTTAACGGATTTTTTTAGTAAAGATACCGTATTTTACCTGGGGAATATTGCGAAAAAAGCTTTTTGCAAATTAAAATTGCTATTTACGAAAGCTTCGGTATTGGTGCATTTCGACCTTTCGAAACCGTTGTGCGTACGGACCAACGTTTTAGCTTTTGCGATAAAGGCGGTGCTGTTGCAGCTATAAAACGGCCGGTAGCATCCGGTAGCTTACATATCGAAAAAATTGCGATAAAAAAAGTTGCGTTATGCAATTTTTAATTTAAAATTGTTAGCGATCGTAAAAGCTTTTAAAAAATAGCGGCATTATTTAATTTATTTATAAAAAATTGTTAAGGTAATTACCAATTATTTAAACCATACCCATATTTTAATAAAAAAAAAGGTAATAAAGCGTTAAGCAAAATGGTTCGAAAATTTAACAAAGTACGATTTTACGATTAAATGGAAGCCAGGATACCGGAACCTTGCGAATGGCTTGTTAAAACGTTTTTAAAATATACCAATGGACGGGGAAGCCGATATGGCAAAAAAGGAATTTTAAAGCGATTTGTTGGCCAAATTCCGAAAAGCAGCTTACGTAAGGATAACCATTACTAAAAAGGATACTAGGACGATATTAAAGCGCATTTTTAAAATATAAACAAAAAACGATTTTATTTAAAGCGGTATTTGGAAAAATAAGCCCAACGTTTAAAAAATTAACAACGGTTTGTTTAAATATAAAAAAAAAGTTTGGGTTCCGAATTTAATACCGTTTAAACGGGCAATGCTTTAAGAACAATACAATAATTCGACGGGGGGTTACAAAAGCATAGCCAAAATTTTAAAAAAGCTTAAACGGTAGTTTAAATGGCCGGGTATGGTTAAAAACGTACGCAAATACGTACGAACGTATTAAATATGCCAATAAACGAAACCGAAAATATAAGCACTTTACGGGCTATTAACATTTTTGCCCGTGCTAAACCGCCCGGGACAAAAGCTATCGATAAATTTTATTAAAAAATTTTTAACGTTGGTAAATGGAACCGGCAAAAAGCGCGACGTAATATTGGTAATGGTCGATCGGTTTACCAAATATAGCTTTTTTATTCCAACGTTTACGAAATTAACCAATAAAAAATTGGGGAGCTTTTTATTTGCATACGTTTAAAGGCTGTTAAAAACGCCCGAAAGGATTGTATCGGACCGGAATAAGCTATTTACAAACGGGTTTTAAATAACCTTTGCCGGACATTTAAAGGTTGTAAAAAGGTTATTAATAGCATACCACCTTTAAACCAACGGGCAAATAAAACGGACGAACCAGGCAGTAAAGCATTATTTCCGGTGCTTTTGTTGCGAAAGGCAAAACGATTGGGCGTTGTTATTGCATTTGGTAGCGTAAATGCATAATACGAACGTGCATTTGGGGTTGCAAAAAAACCCCGGCGTTTTTGCTAATAGGGTTTTACTTACAAAGGCTTTATAACTTTCGGGTAATTAAAAAAAAACCTTCGGCAACGGTTAAAATTAGGGCGGGGGCTTTGGAGGCAATTAGGAAATAAGCCAAAAAATTGCTAAAAAAAGCGAATAATATGTACAAAAAGTACTATAATAAAGGCAGGACCCCGGTGCTTTTCGGGGTAAGCAATTGGGTATTGCTAAATACGGCAAATATTAAAATAAAAAGGCCGTTAAAAAAGCTATTGGATAAATGGTTAGGACCTTTTTAAATTTTAAAAATGGTTGGGTTAACCGGTTTAGCGTTCCGGTTAAAGCTTCCGGTAAATTACCGGATATATAACGTATTCCCGGCAAATTTGTTGCGGGCGTTTAAAAAAAA